TTCTCCAAACACATTTGATTCTTCAATCATTGCAATATAAAGGATTAGTCAATCAAATAATGGATAGTAAATAGGGACAATAAGACAGCTTCATGGGAAGTAGTAAGTAGAAACAACAAATAGACTGGTCTGGACTAGACTATATTTTTAGAGAGCATTATTCTATTCAATTCATATGATTTTCTAAGTGAAATTGAATGAAATTTAAAATCGCACAATTTTTACGTTACAGATTTGATCAAATGAGGATTGAAGACATTAGAGATTTGGTCCCTTCTTTCTCGTCAAGCAAGTTTGTGCACGTATGCATAACAAGGTTACTATTTTTTGACTAGATAATATCTATTATACTTGTTGATCTTACTTACTAAGGCTCTTCTTCATTAGGAAACTTCTTATTAATGAAGTTGTTGTTTAAGAAAAATTAAAAGTTAAAATTGAGAAAATTGATTTTGTTAATGTGGTGAAATTTATTTAAAAACATTAATTGTAATATTGTTCGCCGATCTAAACCTATTCAATAAGGGGAAGGAAAAAGTTCATGGAATCAAACAATAATTTCTGGTCATAAAAATAAAAAGGCATGAATTGTACAAGAAGTTCTTTCGATAAAACGTCATGCGACTCGGAAGACATAAGATTGATTGGGCATACAATTTTTTTTTTTTTTGATATAATGCTTCTCAATGTAAAGTGCATGAGAGAAAGAAAGTTCTTGTTTTCACACTCAACTGTGGGAATAAGGGAATAAGAAGTCTGCTTCTCGTGATTTATCACTTCACGAGCACTGGTCGTGCGAAGTTCAAACCTCGTTAGAGAGAGAATCAAATTGAAGACTGGTCTCAAATCCTGAAAGCGGCAAAAAGATGACAAAACCTTTTTTTCTTTAAAAAAAATTTCACTTACTTTTTAGTCGAGATTATCCCACTCAAAATAATAAAAATAAAAAAATTTGATAAGAATATTAGGATCAATTATTCAACCAATTAATTGTAAGATTGTTAGTGGGTCTAACTCTATTCAACAAGGGAAGTGTTTTAGAAAAATTAAATGTTAATTTAATTTCAAATCTTGTCACTTTGCATGTAATTAAGTAAGAATATTCAAATCCACTACTTTTTTATGGGTGATATACCTTAAATCTGATAAGAATATTAGGATCAGTTATTCAACCAATTAATTATATATTCAATATTATTAAGCTTTTAATGCTCGTTTATTTAAGTAGTAGTTGATATTTTCAGATTAAAAATCGAATATAAAATCACGATTTAAGGTACGTGGACTATGTTAGAAGATAAGTCTCATTAACAAGCTCCAAGTAAATGAAAATTGGTGAACTTATTCAATAGCATGAATCACTTAAAAGATTTATTTATAGCATTTAGTAATTGCATGTTCGAATTTATTTAAAGTTAAAGATTCCAAAACTTGCGTTGTACTTGAAAAGAAAATTCAATTTTTTTATTTATTTATATTTAATCCATTCATTTCTCGAAGAAAAAAAAAGGATATTGATGAATATTATGTAATCAGTAATCAAAGAGTTTTGCCAACATGAATATAGGAATAGTGATTAACTCACCCTACCAAAAAAAATTATAATAATCAAAGAGTTTTAATATCAATAAAAGTTTAAAGTTTAAATATTTTCACTAATTTAATATTTGTGACAAATCATTGCTTAATTAGATAAAATATGAAAATGAATCAAGATGTGAGCTTTCTCAAAATGAAAACTTAAGTAAAAAATTCAAAAATATTTGCACGTCACTAAAGTGGTATATATAATATTCTTGCATTTTCATGGAATCATCAATTTATTTTTATAATAATAATAATTATTATTATTACACTGCAGGCAAAGTAAACAATTACAATAAAATAAATAAAAATATTAATCCTTAAAAAAAGTTCTCACTATTTTGTATCACGGATAGATAATCAAAATAGGTAAGATATATAAATGTTTTAACCATTATATATCGTTAAAATAAAAAAAAATTAATCGATGAAATGGAAATATTATCATATTTTATGAAATAATTTATTTTATTCTCTTTCATATATTCAAGCTTCTCAAGTTTATAATATACAATTTGTCAGGAAATGATAAAGTTAGTAGAAGGAACGGTTTCATGAAAGTTGGGACTCCAAAATATTTTAAAACAATATACTTTTCTTCTAAGTTATTTATTTATTTTTCAACCATGAGACATTTGATATTCTTGGAGCAAAAAAACACCTAAA